AATGGATTAGGTGGGGAACTTTTTTTATAAACCTTAGAAAAACAGAGGAGGGGGCACGGTGTAAAAAAGTGGTGAAAAAACAGATAAGGGGGCATGCCGGACAATCGCCCTTTTAGCTATTTTTTGGGGGGGGAGGGGTCTTGGAGGCAGGTCTGGCATGCCAGCAATCTCATCTGTTGGGTGCAGGATCCTGTGCACCGCCATCACCAAACATCCCTCGAAGCCCTGAGGCCGAGCATGCTTAATATCTGACACATGACCTCCTTCCATGAATCAGGGACTGTGCAATTTTAAGGTATCGCTGGTGTGACAGATGTTCAGCTCCGGAAGTCCTCCGACTCACAAGTATGTAGCCACCGTGTCACCCGAACTTCTGGTGATCTGACTTGTTCTCGACTCTTTGCAGGGACGGCTTGAAGCCACAAGAAGCGACACCGCCATACGTGCAGTTCATATCAGAGGACGACAGGGCTCGCGGGACAGCTTCAGTCTTGTGCAGTAATGTGATTCAGCTCATGATGCCCTGTCCGAATGTAGCCGGGTACCGTCCAGGAGAGGTGAGCGGAATCCCGCGGGTAAATGCCTAGCCTTGCTTTCAATGTATGCTATCGTTTCAGCCTGGAAAAGAGTGCGGCCAAGTTCATGCAATCCCTTTTCCCTGGACATCGACCCCTTCGGATATTATGTCATGGGTGGTGCTCCCACCTGAACACAAAGCGAAGATAACCCTTTCCAATCGGGTCGCACCTGGTGGGGATGACCTTCGTTTCCTGGATCAGCTGAATGATAAGACATGCATATTCCACATTCCAGTCTCGCAGCACACAAATGGTTTACTGGAAGAGGAACTGCAAAACTTCAGCTGCAAGTTCTCAACGCATCAGCCCAATACAGCTTCGGCTCAAATATAGGTTCCATGTTGCTAGTTCAGCCAGAAAGTCTAGTCTCGGCCGTTTGTGACCGCAAACTTTGTGGACAAGAAGAGCATCCCACCGAAGGCGCAACTGAAAAGATGATTGTTGCTTGTCATCATCTGTTAGTCTGATTGTGCCTGTGAACATGGGCCATGACATGGTGCCAAGCGCTTTGGCTCCTTTGGCTCTCCGTGGGAGCGCAAAATGCGCCCAACCTTACGGAGATTTGTGCATATCCGAGGCCGTGCTCACAGTTTCTTGGTGACAACAGCCTTTGTGTGAATCTGGATTACGTCCGAGCGTATGACTTCCAGGCCGCCGAAGACCTTTGTGCTCTGGTGACGCCTGCCCATGGATTCAACCGCGATTTCATAATTTCTGCTGGCCTCGCAAACACGAGCCGCTGCATTTTCGATTGGAAGGGCGATGGCAGATGTGACCTGTCGAACAATCACGACTCCGAGAATTGCCAATTCGATGGAGGTGACTGCTGCCTTTCCACATGCCAGACCAACTGCGCGGAAGAGCCGGACCTTTACGAGCGGCCACCAGCTGTGCGTTTAGGGAACGAGTGCGAGTATTTTTGCGGCGAAGAGGCGCTGTATTGGTGCTTGGACGACGAAGCCGTCCTCTCCCCAGTCAGGCAGTGGTGTGCATTTGGGCAGATCAAATCCACATCGCGGTGCTACATGTCCAAACTGGAAGTTGCCAGTGCCTTGCAGCAGTGTATGCTGGACGACCGCGTCCATGGCAATTCCATCAATGCAGGGCCGCAGTGTGGCAACCAGACGCTTACCTGTACCCTCCAAGATGTGGAGGCCCAAAACGGATGCCACCTCACAAAGGATGATTGCTTCACACGCATGTGCTGCACCGAAGCCATCGACAACGGCTTCATCACTGCTAACCCCGAGACCAATGCACTCCCCTCGATTTCTGCGATATATGATTTGTGCGAGACGAGTACAACCGATAATGATGAACCATGCTTTCCATATATGATGAACTGCATCCAGGAAGCACGCGCCGCCAAAGGTGGTTGCTGCTCCTGCGACACAGGCTGGGGCGGTTGGCGCTGCCGCGACCCTCTCTGCTGGCCACGCTGTGTGCACGGGACTTGCATAGCACCAGATCTTTGCCACTGCGAAGCCGGTTGGAAAGGAGAGGCATGCCAGCACGCCATCTGCACTCCGGAGTGTGTGCCAGGTCAGGGCACCTGTGTATTGCCGGATGTTTGCGAGTGTTTCTATGGTTGGGGCGGCACCTCCTGCGAGGTCCCAGTGTCAGAACCAGCCTGCGTTAACGGCGATGCTGTGTCACCAGACATTTGCCGCTGTGCGGAGGGCTGGGGAGGACGACTCTGCGACTACCCTTTGTGCCAAAGCTGGCCAGTACCCTCGCCAGAGTGCGTTCACGGCACTTGCATTGAGCCCTTCGAGTGTGAATGCGAACCTGGTTGGAAGCCTTACCTACCCATCAATCAGACGGGCTTCGACATCATCCCGTTCTGGTCGCGTGGTCAGGATGTCTCGCAGGAGACCGCAGGCACCTATGTCAAAGCCGACTCCCGTCTCTCTTTCCTGTCATTCTGGGACCGCCAGTACAATTCATCCAATGCTGCGCAATGCACCGTCCCGGAATGCTCAGTTGTCATTGACCCACGCTGCCTTGAGTGTGAGCCACCACCAAATGGCAGGCGGTAATTGTTCAAAACACTTGTCACGAAAGTTGCAGTAGAGTAGGCTCCCTTTTCGTTGGGATCTGCATGTCCGGGCAACTGTGTCGAAAACCTCCTGGAAAAGGGTCAAGAAATAGGAAGAACAACCCCCAGGTGCTTGCGGTGCGAGCCAGGGTTCTTCGTCGACACCGCAATCGACCGTTGTGAGCGATGCTCCAATGTTTTCCCACATTGCCACATTTGTGGCCCAGAGCCCACAGGCCCGGATGGCAAAGTCGTTTTGCGCTGCACGCACTGCGACCCGCTCTTTGTCCTCGAGCCAGTTGCCTTCGGTGAGGACCCCACGGCTCGCTGTGTCTCCGATGGCCCCATCGAGTTTAGTTCCCCTGTGTACCACGTCTACAAGGACCAGGGAAATGTGACGTTGGTGGTGCAGCGCAGTATTTACGCGCTTCGCCCGGAGTTTGCCCGGCCCATCACCGTTATAGTGCGCACGCGGGACGGCACGGCCAAGAGCAGTAGCATGATGTATGGAGGTGAGTTTGCCAGCTACGAGGCCACGGTTGCCAACATTACCTTCGGAGTGGATGAGTCCGTGATGATACCGGCGGAAGGTTCAATGGCTTCGAACTTCTCCGAGGCCTTGACCGCCCGCTTTCACGAGCGCATCGAGCTGCCAATTTTGATCTTCGACGATGTGGTGTACCACCCGGAGTATCGCTACTTCGATGTGGAGCTTGTGCTTCCCCCAGAGCATTTGATCGGACACCAAGGCCCTTTGTACCCCTTTGTCCCAGCTCGTCAGCACGAGACAGACCAGGCATGGATGATGCCACAGAATGTCTACCGTGCTCCGGTGCTGGATAGGCAGGATGTCCTGAGCATTGCTCGGATCTACATCTGGGATCACGTCGAAGCGACCGCTATCAACACCTGGTGCCAGGGTGATTGCCGGCAGTGGCAGTCCAAGACTCTGGTGGGTGATGCACGCAATGTGCTCATCCAAGCCCGCACCTTCGATGACCAGCCGATCACTCCGCCCACCTCCATCCGGCCGGATCCACATTTCATCATCAAGTACCTGCCGAGAGGGGAGGGCAACGAGGAGTCAGTGGGTACAATCACCACAGCCACCCCGACAAACTTGGTAGGCACCTACGCCGGCCGCTTCATTCCAACCTTGGCAGGCATCTACAAGTTACAAATCGAGAAGCCCGTGGCTGGAATGTTTGCGGAATATTGGTGGCACCGGAACATCCATCGAAATTCTCCCCAGCAGCCTGACATCAGCCGGGTCGACCACACCTTGAACTTTTGGTTTCCAGACGTGGCGACTGCACCGGCCTTCGTGAGATGGAAATTCATATTGCACTTTGCCTGCATCCGAACCGAACGGTGGCCCTTCAACTTCGGGCATGCGCTGGGCATTATCGCATCTCCAGGTAGCGAGGTGCGAGCATTCTTCTGGAATGATGGCTCAGTTACGAAGCGAATTCCGGATGATGTGGTGCCCCGCAAGCGCGAGGAGATGATTCGTGAGGACTGCATGCAAGAAGTGCCCTTCTTCATCTGCATCGACCTGCTGTTTCACGATCCTGTGGTAGATCCTTTTGGGTTCTACGCCTTCGAAATCGAGTGGAGCACGCCCATGGTCGATGACATGGAGGAGAAAAAACCCACATCAATCGAGATAATGCTCTATCATCAGAACGACACGGACTACTGGGGCTGGTGGCCAATCAGGCAAGGCTGCTTGCTTTCAAGTGGCCTCAACATCCAAGGCAGCCCCTACGAGGACTTCCAGGCCATCAGTGGCAATGCGCGGCCGGACTTTTCAACAGTCTTGGCGCTGCCCTACGACACACTCACGATGTCTGTCATTGTAGACAGCCCGGCTGAGGTGCGGATTGACCTCAGGGACATTCTGGGGCAGCCCGTGGTGGGAGGCGGCATGCTGCGCAGCCTGAGTGCCCGGTTGTACACTTTGCAGGGAGTCAAGGAGATGGACTTGCCCGTGCGCTGGAGTGCTCAAGGGTACTACTCCGCCGCGTGGACTCCGCTGCCCCCCGACCCGATTTACAACGATGATGTCAGCACCGGACGCTACTATCGGCAGTTGATTGTTCTGCTGGATGGAAGTCAAATTCAGAACTCGCCCATGTCGGTAGAGATCTTGCTCGCGGTATCCGACGAAGACCGATCTTTCGTGGAAGCGGGTGACTACACACCTGCGCAGGCGGGCGAGCCTGTTTGGTTCCAGCTTCGATCGGCCACCTTGGCAGGTCGGCTGCGTGTCACTGGCGGCGACAACTACGAAGTCTACTTCGATGGCCCCTCGCACGACCCTCTGGGCGTCGAGGATCAGTTTCGGGGCAATGTGATCGACAACTTTAACGGCTCCTACACTGTGAGGTTTGAGATCCAGAGGCCTGGGCGGTACAACATGCGGATCTTCTTGAATGGTGTAGAGATCCGTGAGTCGAGACTAGTTGGGTCTCCATACAAAGGTATTTTGATATGGGACGACATCAGTGCGGCGCTCTCCACTGCAATCGGCCCAGGCATCAGTCCCGTAGGATCTAAAACAAGCCCCGCGCAGATTATCGCAGGCCTGAACACGACCTTTGAGATCAGCGCCAAGGACTCCTATGAGGTGCAATACTTCGAGGGGGGCGCGACCTTCGCGTTGAGCAGCCCGGCAATGCACCAGGCCCCGGCCCTCAACGAGACGTACGCTGCCCATGTCCCCGCAGAGGACTACATCGACATTTTTGACAATGGAGATGGCAGCTACACCGTGGACTACCTCCTTTGCAAAGCTGGTCTGACAACCATGGATATCCGCCTCAAAGTGCAAGAAGCAGGAGTTGAAACCTGGGAGCCGATCCAGGGCAGCCCCTTCCTCATCGAGGTACTTCGCGGAGAGTTGCGGCCTTACACTTCCAAGGTGCACCCGCCAATGCTGCCACAGAGTGGAGTTCCGGCCACTTTACGTCTGGACTTGCGTGACGCCTGTGGTAATGAGGCAGATGAGGATGCCATGAACAGCCTGCAGATCCAGTTGCTGCGCAGCGAGGGTGGGGATGTGGAGGCGCTTGCCTACGAGGCGGTGCGTTCCGGGCCTGGGGAGGTCATCGTCTTCTTCACACCCGGACGTAGAGGACATCACCAAATTCTGGCAATGCGAGACGGCGAGCATTTCCAGGCATCGCCACTGAGCTTCCAGGTGTCTCCTGCCGCAGTGGCACCGCGGGGCTCGGAATGGCAGCTCGCGGCCATCGGTGCATCTGCTGCTTCGACTTTCGAGATTTTCAATTCGCCAACTTTCGCTGGTGAGCCGGGCATGCTGAAGGTCACTGCTCGAGATCTCTGGGGCGATGTGCTAACCCATGAGAACCACAGCTTCATCGTCAGCTTCTGGCGCGACACAGGGGGGCACGGTGAGTGCCCCAGCCTCGCACGTTGCATGGCCGCCGCCATCAGCCAGGAGATGTGCGAGCGGCTGCCGCTCTGCCACTTCGAGCCGGTCTGGCGCCAGTGCAGACCGAACTGCCACGTCTCGGAAGCCGCAGTGCCGTATCGGCTGGTCATGCCAGATGCTGTGGTGAATCAGACGTCAGTTCACGCAGAGGTCTATGAGTTCTCCCTGCAGACCACCGTGGCTGGTACCTACCACGGCGCAGTTAGCGTCCTGCGGCCAGGGGCATTCTATGCGTATTGGTACAATAACCCACAGCGCTCCAAGCGCGTTTTCTCTGAGATGATGCGAGGTCCCTTGGACATGGACTGGGGCATCTTCGGCCCTGGAGGCACGCTGCCAGGCAATAAGTACTACCTGCAGATTATCGGTTGGCTTCGGGTGCCTTCCACAGACAGGTACGTGTTCCAGCTCACCTCTGACACCGGTGGTTACAGTCGGGTCTTCCTGAACGGCTCGGAGATCACACCAAGCGATGGAGACCCCAGGATGGAGGTGGATCTTCTCCAAGGGTACATTCCTATTGAAATCTTGTATGACCACTGGATGGGAGAGACCACTCGCAATGTGGGTGCCTTCTTGAAGCTCGGTTTTGGAGGTCCTACGGTGCCATTTCAGACGTTGCAGGCGGATTTCATGTACTATGAGGAAGTCTTGCATCAGGCCAACAATCCCTTTGTCCATGTGGTGGAGCCAGCTATACCTGTGCGGAGTCTGCAAGCTGTTGGAGGGGTGCGCGGATCAGTGCCTTTGCAGGCCATGGCAGCTCGGGATGTCTTCTTCCGTTTGCAGTCTGCTGATGCCTATGGCAACCTTCAAACCCGGCGGGACCCCGCCTCTTCCCTGCGGCTTCGCGAAGACGAGCTGGGCTTGGTAAAGCGCATTGTTCCTCTGCACAGTGGAGCTTGGGACGTAGTACTGGTCCCGAGGGGCCCTGTGGGCAGGCACCGCCTCACATTTGATGTTTTCTCTCAGGCCAGCCACCATGGTTCGCTTCAGCCGGTGGCCAACTATAGCGTGGAAGTGGACCTTGTTACGAACCTGCCCGATGCGGACCTGACCACTTTGTTGTGTCTTCCTCCACCGCCTTGGCCGGTGGGCGTGGAAGTCACTTGCGCTTTGATCCCGCGCGACTCTGAAGGTAACCAGGTTTCGGGCCTCCAGCAAGTGCACCTCTTCGCCCAGCCTCCACCGCCCTTCTCTGAAGAGCTCACGGCATCTCTGCACGTAGCGGACCCCAAGGACGTGGCAAGGCAGTTCAGGTTCTTCCCCACAGTTGCTGGCATGTGGACGCTTCGTGGTGAGGCCATCCTTGCAGAGGATAGGGTCGTGAACTTCCGCACCTGGCCCTTCGAGGTCCTGGGTGGCCAGACCTCCGCTTACCGGAGCTACTCGGTGCAGCCCTCTCGCATAATTACCGGCATCCCATTCAACGTGCCCATCTACGCTTTCGACGAGTACGACAACCCTTCCGAGGGGGGGATGGACATCTTTCGGCTGAAGACGACCGGCGGATACGAGGAGCGTCTTGCTTTGCAGCCGCCTGTACAGTATCTTGAGAACAACACTTACATGGCCTCAAATCTCGTTGCAGAGTTCCGAGACTTGTTCGAGATCCACATTGACCAACTTGCTATGCTTCACAATAACAGCCTCTCGCAATGCCCGGAGCTTTCGCCAGTGCCGGGCGGCCAAATTTTTGAGTTGAGTGAGCAACGTGCAATCGGCAGTGTCGCGCATTTACGGTGCCTTTCAGGCTTCATTGCGGCCGGTGGCGAAGGGGCACTACGGTGCTTATGGCCCAATGCTTCTGCCTCGCGACATGTTGTGGGTTATGCCGAATGGTTCAACTTGTCATCCATGCCAGCGAGCGGGCTGATGTGTCGAGAGCAGCTGCTCTGGTGCCCCATGCCGCCTTCTGTACCTTTCGGCCAACGTGTTGCACTTGATTGGCGTCGGCAGGTTGGCAGCGTCGCAATGTCGGAGTGCCTGCAGGGACACATGCTTCTCTTTGGTGACCTGGATGTGGTGTGCGGCTCGCGCGGAGGACTGGGCACATGGCTCCATGCCGATGGCACTACTGCCACGGCGGCTGCTTGCATGCCCATCCAGCAGCTTTGTCCGGAACTTTCGCCCGCAACCTCGGATGTTGTTGCTGCGAGCGATGGCAGGAATGCTGGCAGTGTGATTCAGCTGCGCTGCAAAGTAGGACTGGTTCCTGCCGCAGGTGACGCAGTGCTAGTTTGTGGTGCTGACGGCATGTGGCTGAAGCCGCTGCAAACTCGGCCGCAGCCACTGGGTGAGGTATTGGCCTGTGAGCCGGATCCGTTTTTCTGCTCCGATCCTTCACTCTTGCTGGGGCCGGGTGCCGTGGTGCAGCAGAGTGACACCCATCTGAATGACACGGTGTCCGTGACTTGCAGTATCGGCTTTGAGGAGGCCGGTGATGGCGAAGCGACAGGGAAGTGCGCGATTGACCCCGAGGACGACTCGAAGGGACGCTGGGCGAGCCCCACGGATGTGACCAAAGGCCAGGTCCCGTGGCGGCCCTTGCGCTGCCGCCGGCGCCAGAGCTACTGCGGCAACATTGAGGTGGATCATGGCCAGCTGCTTTCGCTTTCCGACGAGCGCTATCTTGGCTCGGCTGCGCTGCTGGGCTGTGCAGAGGGCTACGAAGCCAAGAGTGGCGATGCCAACTTCCTCTGTAGTGCTTCCACTATCGGGGCCGGTGAGTGGTTGTCACAAAGTGGCGCTGGCTTGAGTCAGAAGCTGAGCTGTGGTAAGGTGGCCGAGTACTGTCCTCAGCCGGTGCCACCAGAAGGGACTGACTTCGTTCTCTCCGTGGGAAGGGAGCTGGACAGTGTGCTCACGTTCCAGTGCCACCTGGCTTACGAGCCGAACGTGGCCCTGGAGTATCCACCCGAGCTGTTCTGCCGGCCAGGGCCCGTGCCGGGTCGAGGCCGCTGGTCCTCTCGGGATGGAAAAGGCTTGGAGCCAGAGAAGTACCTGAAGTGCGGCAAGCAATACAACTGGTGCCCTCGACTCAGTTTGGTGGATGGCCGTGTCAGCAATGTTCTCGACAACCGCCAGCTGGGCAGTACAGCGCAGCTACGCTGTGATGCGGGTCTCCAGATGACATTCGGCTCCGCGGATCTCGGGCTCGTGACTTTGGATGTGAATTGTACTAGTGGTACGCCAGCGGGAGGTGTATGGATGGCACCGGATGGACAAGACATCGCAGGCCAACTTCAGTGCACTCCATTGGACTACTGGTGCCCTCCATTGAATGGCTACACAATCGTAACGGCCACGTACCGAGAGCTCGAATCTTTTGAGCGCTATGTCACCTACAGTTCAACGACCCGTGCCTACCGCAGCACCGCCACGATTCGCTGCGCACAGGACAAGCGCATGCTCGACAGCTACGGCGACTCCGAGGTAGTTTGTGGATTGGATGCAGAGGGCATTGGTGGGGCGTGGCGAAGCCAGCACGGGGGACACTTGGCCATCAGCAAACACTGCTTCTACACCGGTTCCCCGATTACCGACACAGCCTTCATCGAAAACGGCTGCTTCTTCGGGGAGTTTGCAGGTTCGCTTGACAATTATTCCATTCCCGTGTACTTCTTTCGCACGGGTGCCGTTATCTTCTGGCACCAGCCAACGGAGTGGGTTGTGGGCTCCACTGTTCTGGAGGGCCAAAACAGTAATTGGCAGATCAAGTGGGTTGGAGACGGTATCCTGAATGCCAGAGTCGACCGAGGCGTCGGCGAACTTCAGATTGATGTGACGCAGAACTTCACCAAAGGGCCCGGGGACTGGTTTCACATCGCCTTCATTTGGGACTTGGGAGTAGGATTGGCAGGCCAGGGGCGCAGCTACCTATGGGTAGACGGGATTGAAGGCCAGCCCGTCGCTCTCAATTCTGAGAGGCTGAACCACTTCATCTGGGTGGAACCCCAGGACGGATTGGACCTTGGCGGAATTCGCAGCCCCATGAGTCCTGGTGAATACAGCAATATCCGAGTCTATACCCGAGCACTGACCGGAGAGCAGGTTTACGAGATCTTCAGTCAGGAGGACCCAACCTGTGGCATGACGGATGATGTTTGCCCAACACCGTGGTCCTTCCGGTCATATGTGTACGAGGTGACGAACCCGAATGACTTCCGATACAAGCTCTTCCCTCGCCGTCCTGCTGCAGAGGTGTTTTTCAAATGCGATCCCGGGTACACTGCCTTCGATGGTGACAGTCACATCATATGCACCAGTGCAGGAACCTGGTTGAAATACGGAACGAACCAACTGGCGCAGCCACTCCGATGTTGTCGGCACGCAGAGGACTTCTGCCCAACTATCGACCTCACAGGTAGCGCCGGGGCCGTGCTGACTGCAACGGGCTTTGAAGTCTTGACGGAATGTGGGGAGATGCCTGTCGATGATGGCCTCCCGCAACCTGTGGTGAGCTTTGCACGATGCTCGGAACCCCCTACTGCTGCATACGTTATGGTGGAACTGAGCGACGACCTGAACATCTCCAGCATAGCATCGCTGCGGTGCGAGCACGGCTTCGAGCCTTTAGACCCACTCACCATGGATACTGAGCTGAGATGTGTTCGAGGCACCGTCCCTGAGCCGCTGCTATCCGACGTCGTCGTGCCAAGTCGTTGGATGACGATTGATGGCCGTGAGCCTCGGCCTCTGCACTGCCGTGGCGTTCAGAACTTCTGCCCCGACCCGCGCCTTCCGAACACCACCGTGATCATGCTTTCAGATTCACTACGAACAGGTTCTATAGTTCACCTCCGGTGCCTTGATGGCTTCGCAGGTCCGGTAGTGGAAGCAACCTGCGAGAGGTCTCCAGACAACAGTGGCATGTGGATGATCGAGGACAATGGCACGCAGCCGCTGACAAGCCTCGACCCTTGCACGTATCTACCACAGAATCATTCGGAGGAGGAGCCCGAAGAGCTCCTGGTCCCAGGTGCTGTCTGGAACTGGGAGGGCTGCGCGCAGGGCGAGGGATCGGCCATGCTCTCCGATCCATCTGTGCCCCTACATGCCAGCGGAGGCACGGTTTCGCTTTGGTGGCAGCTGCCGGCAGACCTCGAGGAGCGGTTCGTACTTTGGTCATCCATGGAGAGCAGCTGCTTACAAGCCTTCAACGACACGAATGCCACCGAGAGTGTGCCCGATTTGCCTGGCGATGATGGCACCACAGCAAGCACCACATCTTCATACTTGTCTTTGTGGGAACAAAACGACACCAACGTGTCGAACATCTCACTCGATGGTGTGATGGATCCAGAGGATGCGAACGACTTCGACGAGAGTGTGAACCAGAGCAACGCCTCCAATGAAACTATGAATCTGACATTGGACGAAGTGAACGCCAGCGAGAGCAACGAGACCCGCCAAGGCCTGGACAGTGATGCCGATCTCGACAGCGACAACGACACTGACAATGACTCCGAAGTTGAAGACGCTGACAACATCACCTGGAGAGAATCCAACGACACACGCTTCGTGGATGTCAACAACACTACGGACGATAATGACACTGCCTCCACCATCAATGCGACGAAGGCAGAGAATACCACCACCAACGACACGAACGAGTCGGAGTCGGGCGACACTCTGAACGAGAGCAACCAGACCCTTGCGAATTCCACAGAGCAGCCTGCATTGCAAGAGCCGGTGAGCCTGCCGATGTCAGAGGAGGAAATAGAGCTTAACGAATCCGACGGCAACACGTCCGATGACTCAGAGAATTCCACCGATGAAGCCGTCAACGATAGCAACAGTAGCGACAAAGAGCGAATGAACCTGAGCAATGCCACTATTGCCACTATTGGCATGCCCGACGCTGATGGCGGCAGCGAAGCTCTTCCGCAGTGTTTGGAGAGTCCGCACATGGTGGTGACTAGAGGCATCTTGCAAGTTCAGCTGTCTCAGGGCCTGGGAGACTTTTCGGTAGACTTGGTTCGGCTCGGGTTACGTAGCGGCCAGTGGCTGCACCTCTCGTATGCCTGGGACGACGGAGGCATGGAGACTCGCTTGTGGCTCAATGGCACCAATGTCCTGGCAAGTGCAACCACTACAACTTCCACGATGCCCTTGGACACGGTAGAGAATCTCACAAACATGACAGAGGCCGAAGTGGACATGGACGAGCTGAATGAGAATGAGACCTACACTTCCGAGGCCGAAAGCAACGAAAGTCAAGACAACGTTTCCTACGACTCCGAGAATGTCACTGCCAAACTGGCAGAGGAGAGCAATACTAGCAATAAGAGCGCAAGCGAGGCTACAGAGGAGGGCAGCGAAGAGTGGCGTGAGGTTTTGGAGGAGGCCAGGCAAGAGGGATGGATCACACTCCCTGCAGCGGCGAACTACAACACGACCCTTGACAATGACTTGGAGTTTCAAATTGTCATGGGTTGGCCACTTGACTCCACGGAATTCCTGGAGCATATAGCCAATAATGGATGGCGAACGCTGTGCAGGTTGTACGACAAGCTCTTGCAGGACTCCGATGCAGAGCAACTCTCTCATGAGCGGCCATACTGCCCTGTAGTGTTGTGCCCAAGGCCGGAGGAAGGTCGGATGCAGAACTCATACATACGGCATTTCCCTCGACGAGCCGTTCCCGGCGAGATGCTTCGCTTGGCTTGCCTGCCAGGCTACTACGCAACGGCTGGCCAGGAGGAATTGCACTGTGGTGCCTCAGGGATATTCATGGGCATGGCCCTGGAGTGCTGCTCCTTGGACCCCGAGTTCTGCCCGGAGGTGCCTACTCACTGGAGGCAATCGATCAACAGCGCGCCAGAGACTTTGGCAGACGGCATGGAGAACCTGATCGTAGATGTCTATGAGCCATCAGACCCCTGTGAAGGCGACGAGAACGGTACAGCGCAGTCCCTCGGTGCTGAACTCCACCTGCACTGTCCTGCTGGCTACCTTCTCGTAGCAGGGACACGACACGCCATCTGCTCGCAGAAGGATTCGGAGGAGGAAGGCATGCGCTCGTTTTTGGGAGTGTGGAAGGACCTTGAGATTGGAGGGGAACTGAGGCTGCCTGTCTGCGATTTGGACGACAACTGGTGTCCGATGCTCTACCCGGGCTACCAGAGTTTCATCGTGAATGCAACGGCCGGCCGGCGCCTCGGCTCCTTAGCTTTTCTCCGCTGCCTCGATGACCAGCAGTTCGAGCCGGACTTTGGCAGTGTGACGGTCCGATGTGGCATGGCCACGGACAGGCAGTCCGGGCAGTGGGTTGATGCCTTCGATGCCCCCGCAACAGCACTGTCCTGCCGGCAGCGCGTCTTCGCCACCACCTCCACCACAACCCTCAGTCTGCTCCCAACCAGCAGTGGCGTTATCTCGGGCCTGCCAGGTGACCAAGGCCTTGATGCATTCCGGCACCACGCCGCCAACGCCTCTCTGGGTTGCGGATATCCCTTCGTCAATGTTGGAGGAGACACCCGCGTCTATTGTGTTCTGGGGCCTTCCACGACCAGCCCTGACGGTACAGAGGGCCGATGGGTTGATCAGGACGGAAGCAACATCGAGTTGCCAATATGTGTACTGCGCAGGGACTGGTGTCCGCAGATTGACTTGGTGGGTAAGAATAGTGAAGCTTTGCTGAGCAGCGCCTACGAGTTCGGAAGCGTGGCGACTCTCCGATGTCACATCGGTTACCAGCGCGTCGAGGGCAACATCACGCTGAACTGCATCAACCACGAGTCGCTGCTCTACGGCATCTGGGATGCAGAGCCCGTGCGATGCGAGCTGTCACCATTCTTCTGCCCGGCTCCTGAAGCCACGTTTGCTGGTCTAGTGCAGCTGGAGTCGCGCTTCCAGCGAGGTGATGTTGTCAACATGGCCTGCCATGCAGGCTATAGTTACTTGCAGGGCGATTTGGAGGTCTATTGCGATGTTGGTGACAACAGCGATGGAGGGCAGTGGAAGACGAGTGATGGAACCGCCGCTAAGCCCGTGGTTTGTGTGCCTCAGCAAGATTTTTGTACTCTACCGGTGGTCAACAACGGCTACGTGAGCTCGGTATCCGAGGAGGGCAAGATGGGGAGTATCGTTGAGCTGCAGTGCCAGGATGGCTTTACGGACTTGCGCTTGGACGCATTGCAGGCGCTGCAGCGCACGGCTCGCTGTACCGAGGACGGCGCCTTTCAAGTTGGCATCTCACGGGTCAGCCGGGATCTGTTGCGGGCCACTTCTTTGGCTCAGGATGTCTTGGACGAGTTGGAGTCCTACTGGGCATTGGATACACGAGAGTCGGATCTCAATTGGCGGGCACTGATGCAATTTGAGTACCGTTGGCGCTCGGAGCTCTCCTTGGGTTTGCGAGGTTTGCTTTATGACAGCGCCGTCCGGGAGGTCTTAGTCCAATTCCCAGGCTATGATGGTGGACTCACTGATAAGTGGATGGCGATGTTCACGGTAGACGACGTCCGCAGGCTGGTAACCTTGCTCGAGGAGCAGCAGGGGAAGATGCTGGACCTTGCTCATCAGAACGGGCTGCCAGCTGGCTTGCAGGAAGAACCGATACTCTACTGCAACCGAACACCAGATTGGTGCCCGTTGCCCGAGCTCCCGGAGCACAGCTCTTTCGTAGCGGGCACAGGTGTCTCTGCAAGGGCCCTGGGTGATCAGATCTTCCTGGAATGCCACCCCCATTATGTTTACGATCTTGGCCTTCAGTCGCTGATGTGTGGAAATGCGGGTGATGGTTCAGCAATTTGGCGAGCGGTCGACGGTCGACAGGCACAGCCCAACATGACCTGCAGCTTGAATCGGCTTTGGTGTCCGCCACTCCCGTCACTGCACAATTCTCATATTTCCAACATGGAGCCTCGTGACCGGAGTGTCTACACGGAGGTTCATCTCGAATGCCGACGAGGCTACTATCCTACGGCAGGCCACGCTTTCGGGCGGTGTGCTGAATCCGGGCAATGGTGCTCCAGCGATGGACCTTCGGCGCACTGCACCGAGCCGGCAGATTGGCTTCGTTGCGAACTAATCCCCGCCTACTGCCCGAGCTGGCCGGGCAAAGAGGAGACAGGGCCTTATGGAAATGGTAACAGCAGATTCCTCGGCAATGAGCATGAGCGCTCTGACCTGAACCCCCTTGCTCACATCTTCCTGCGTGAAGTTCGCCAGCTGCCGTTGCCCAGTGCTGCCCTAGGAGATATCGTGACGCTCTCCTGCCCGCAGTACTTCTCCAGAGCTACTGGGGACGTGCGATTCAAGTGCGGGCATGGTCGAAACGGTACCGGTGAGTGGCAGCGAGAAGCCATTGCGGCCACCTCCTACCTGGACAACAGTACGCCGGATGCCCTGATACAGCTAGTGGACGAAGCTATCGCAGAGCCTTTGGTCTGTGAGCTGCAGACTCAATTTGGTGTTCGTCGTAAATATTACGAGCGTTTGCCCGGGCTTTTCAGGAACCACAGCCGATCCGGCGAGGATGTGGTGCCCCACATCAATCAGATCCAGTCGCCCTACGACGCTTCGCACTTCGAAGCATATCTCCGCCCGGAAACTCCGGGAAACTACACACTTTGCGTGGAGGTGGTGGGTTCCTTCGTGTTGACCTTTGACAAGGAGATCTTGCTTTCTGCGCGATCGCAAGGCCTTCTGCCCGAGCTTTTCGTGTCTAAGCCAGTGGCCTTGGATGCAAGTCGCTTTCATTCTTTCAGCCTGGAGTTTTGGGCAGATCCTCTCTTACCAGAGCGCGTGGACACTGAAATGAACTTTCAAAGGCACTTGCGCTTCCTCTGGAACTCCTCGTCGGATCCACCTGTTCCGGTACCATATTCTGAGCTCTTCCACAGCTTTGATACCATGTACGGCTCTCCAAACTCGCACATAGGAATCAATGACCCTGAGCCTTGCCCCTCCGGAGAAATTCAGTACGTTCGAGGCTTGAACGAGTACGAGGCGGGATGGGTGACGGACGGCTCTCTCGGGTTCAACTACAACCCGAACTCGCAATGCCAGTGGGAGCTTGAAGCCGTTGGCAATGTCCGCTTTACAGTGTTTTCGAACTTTGTGGACCTTGTTGACACCCAAGACTGCGCAGGGGATCGCCTCGAGTTTCACGTGGGCTCGGGGAATGCCCTGCGACTTCTTGGTGCCGTATGTGGCAGCTACCCGGAGGGCACACCACTCGTACAGACGTCAAGCAGGCGTTTGGTGATCCGGTTCGTCACGGATGGCTTCGGAGAGAGGGAGGGCTTCAACGTCACCTACAACCTCACTCGCACAAACGAGATCATCGCGGAAGACACCGTCATACCGCGAGTCTCGTGACAGAGCACAGTAGCACACCGCCAGAAGATGGACCTGGAAGCTCATAGGAGGGTCCGATTCGAAGGAAAATGCTTGTGACACGAGTGCTGCGCCGCAAAAGATGGCTTCGAGTTCCCGCAACTTCCATTTAAACAACGCAGACGATGATTTTGCCTACAATCATAGTCACACCGTGTCCATATGTGTCCATATCACCCTAAAGTGGGTGCTACTGCTTTGGTGCGGTGCCCGCCCATGATGGTTCAACACACCATTACTTCCACCTACACAATTTTCGCTCGCCACCAATCTCTTGATCGTACACTCCAACACTATCGCCTTCTCTGGCAGTCCTGTGTCAGATTTGGGAGCGTCATGCGTTTTTCATCGTTTACGGAAACATGCTCCCGCTTCAGCGCCGCGCCTGTCGCTTGCAAAGCGCAGGTCCTGGGCGTGGTGCCGAAAGCCGTCCATATTCGTGCTGCGCATATCATCCTCTCTCCGAGATCCCGTGAGTGTCCGCCGCCCGAAATCGCGTCCCTGCATATGAAGGGAGACCTGCCACGGTCCCCCGTGATATGGTATGCGTATTATATATCTACAGACTCATCTGTGTAGTTTTTGTTTAATAAGTCTTGGCTTGTGCGTTGCGGCGCGATTTCCTCAACTGACTGACGGGGAAAATATAGATTTGATCATTGAGAAGATCATAACCTTGACATTAACTGTTTGAATTGTTATGAGGAAGAAGGAGTATATTCTTGTACAAGTAATTAAGTTTAGTTTTTGTATTTCGATTTGATATAATGAACTGAATATTGTGAGAACATTAGATTCGTGATTATACTCAAGCCCTTTTTTCTATTATACTTCAACTTATCCAGACTTTATCTTAAAACTTAGAACCAATTTACTCTATGAAAGGCTGCACGCTTCCTCCGGTTTCAGATTTGCGCAGGACGGCATCCGGTACGAACGGGATTTTAGGATTGTCGGCAAGCTTGCGGCTGTCTGCCCTTAATCACAGGCGAACCCTTAGTGCGAAATTTAGGCTTTCGTACCAGACGCGCTGCGTAGTACGAAACGCTCAAATTCCAGGGTCTCATGGGTGTACGAAACTCCGCAAATCCCGAAACGTATGGTTTCGTACCGCGCCAAATTTCCGAGAAATTCAGTATTTCGTACCACATCATTTCCGTCATTTCATTACGCCGCTTCGACAAACATTGGATATCATCCACCTTCAATACTATACTGAAGGATTTGGACACTTGGTACATGCCACGCATGCCATATACAATGTATTGTAGCATGGTGAGGTACCTTGAGGACTTACCGTGTTTGTCGCACTGTCGCATGGACCGACCAGACATCGCAGCTAGAGACCGGAACGTGGAGACGCAACTTGCGGGCAAGGGCGCGTGTGTGTCGTGGGGAGTGTCGCGGAGCGGCGGGCAAGGGGAGGTGTGTCACTGGAGTGTAGTGTGGAGTTTCGGGTGAGGGTGCGTCTCGGAGTGGCGGGCCGGCGTGTGTCTCGCAAAATGTGTCGCGAAGTGTCGGGCGAGAGCGTGAGTGGCGTGGGAGTGTCGCGG